GTCAATTCCGAGCCCTTTGTAGGACACACCACATGCGACTATTTGGGTTGTTCCATTCGCCACTCACACACCAGCAAACACAGTAGGAGACCTGACCTTTGGCACTGTATTTAGTGTTTTTATATTAGCATAGGGATAAGCGGTGTGACTACGGGGTCATGGGATTTCACCCATTTTCACTAGGCATATAGGTTAACTATGCAAAGCTTGTCAGTTATCGTGTTCGCAGACAGACAAACAAGACACCATTGACTACCCAAAAAAGTTTTGCTCTGCCGCTTACCTTACCTTACCAATTTTATATGAACACTATATTTACCGCGGTGCTGCATAATATGGCGTGAGGAAGGTAAGATCCTCGTACATTTAGATTAGTATTTTAACGCGTTTTTTGCATTAAAAATTGTAAATTAGTTTGTTCTCTTCATTGTAAAGTCACTGTATTATACAAAAGTTGAATACTCACTCACTTCAGTTACACACAATCATTCAACACAGGAAGCCTTTCCAAAACCGCAGAGACGCCAACATGGAAGATTCTAAAGGAAACCTTTAGCTGCTCATGGACCAAATAATGCAGTTGAAGAACCCAAAATATCAATTGGGGCAATAAAAATTTTATGAACATCCAACAAATTTTAATCTTATCATGTAACTGTTCAAGATATGAACTGTGTGCAAACAAGAAACGTAAATGTTGTGAAACGTTTATTAAAGTTTTCAGGATTGTCACATTGTGACTGATGAATTTAATATTTAGTGAGATTGATGAAATTTTGATAAAAACAATATAGGAAAATTATCTTTAATCAAAATGAAGTTTGAAAATTGTTTAAGTTGGTCCTTTTGAAGTACCTAATGCAGGACTCTTTTTATTTCGCCTTTTTTCGTGTCTTTCTTTCACAAATAATACTGTATAACAAACTATATTCGATGTGGTCAATGGTCATACAATATGCCCATCTTCGCGTTTCGAAATATTGCTATTGCTCCAAATATAGATCAGTAACAATTATCATACTACGAGAAACCCCTCTGTACTCTGTAGACGTATCAACAAATTGCTGTGGTCAGTGGTAGTGTAGTTTCGTGTCACCTAATATGATTTGTGAGATGATGCGTAACATTTTTTCAAATTACGCACGGATTAGTTGCAAAATTGCGAACTTAATAAATTTAAATTATTTTTAAATTCTCCCAATTGGCGCATCGGGTGTACTAATCCATTACAATATAAACATTTCATAAGCGTTTTAAGAAAGTAATCCATCGAAATGACATCCAAGCACGCAACAAGCAAGCTGCATCCGTATAATCTGCGATTCCATAGACAACAGTCAACATCGGCGGAATGTATTTAAAAAAAAAGGTGCGAACGCTCGTCGTTTTCTGTTTTATAACAAGGATTAGAGGAGCTTTAGTAAAAAATACGAGTATTTTTGCAAGGAAGACGTGGATTAAACATTATATCACAAAGTTTTAATGTTCGGATCGTAGAAAGTAATATTAAAAATGTTTTATACCTCTTCTGGTAAGGAAAATATGGAAAGAGAAACGGTCGGAGTTACCGATAGATTTTATCGCCGCTACCTAATTCAAACCGAACATAAATTGATATAGGGCAATTCCTATTAATGACAACTTTACTTTTTAAACGACAGTTTTATTGTGGCTTCTTAAGATAACTGTAGGCAATAATGGGTAGTTTTTCTTTCTTTTGTCGGAACGAACTGTAGTAAAAAGTAAGGATGGTTGCCGGCCTGTCCGTGGCGCCAGAGATGGCGGCGCCGTCAACGTCGATTGGGGTGAGACGCCCGCTGCTCCTGGATAAGTGAAAGCTCCTCGGGCAATCGGCCAGGACGCGTTCTCGTACGACCACCGATCGGACGCTAATGTAAAAACCTGCCAATATTTATATAGCTTTGTCAACTAAAGTAGTTCCCGTTCGGCTGACAGGGAAATGTGCTACAAGGTAAACTCCTTGAGCATGTATGCACACAATAAGTAAGTAGGGGAGCGAAAAAAACCAAATCGATTAAAATAACAGCTTTGTACACAAGGGGAGGTTTTTACCTTCACACAAACGTCTGTTATCGCTAATGGACATTTTTAAATATTCAAGAATCGGTATAGAATCAAAATTTAATTTTATGTGAAGATATTTACAACTGTATGGCTCGCTTATGAATTACTTTGGTAATCGCATTGCGCAACCAGATGGATTGATTTGACAACCACAAATAATATTTTTCAACCCGTTTACTTTCACTGTGATTTGTCTCTGGATCGTGTATTATTACAGGTCTCAAGTTCGACTCCCAGTTACAGAATTAGCTTTTTTTGTATCTGTGCTGTGGGGTAGAAAGAAAGCAAAACATTCTAAATTTAATGTTGACGATTTTTTGCTAGTGGAAAAGAAATCTACAATTTATAATAAAGTTATACATTTGACAATATCACATTAGGGCGATCAAAAATGAGCTGCTGTCGAGTCGCCTTTGGAAGTTCAAGTTAAGTACAATTTCCCATGTAAACAAAAATTCCAAAGGTGACTCGACAGCAACCCATTTTTGATCGCATAGTATAACGTATTCAGGGCTTTAACGTAGTGGAATGTCGTCGAACAGTTCCTAAAGATAAAACCCAACAGTTTAGGTGAATTTTAATCTGGAGTCAAATATAATTCCTAATTCCCTTATAGTCACATTGGGTAAGTCGTGTCAAGGCTAGATTACAATCATAAGTAATATGATGTTGTTCTACGTTGAACGATAAAACCCGACATTTTCCCACATTCATGTGAAGGTTGTTATCATTACACCATTTGTGAATATAATTTAGTTGCGATTGTCTAAATTGCAATCCTTGATCGATTAAATAGGTTCACATCTTAAGGTCATTTGCATACACCAATTTTGTTTTAGTAATAGTGTCCAGGAGATCATTCACTGGATGTGACCCATCTTGAGATAGCTTTAGAAAAAAATCCGAAACGAAACCAACATGGGCTTACCCCACAACGCCCTTAGCTCCATCCTACTAAATTAAGTACATGTTGTAGTTTCAGAAATAAAAAACAAAACGAAGGTAATCGTTAAATTATCTTGCACTCCAGGCAAGCTATTAGTTTATTGTTTGGGAAAAAGGCTTTACCACTCCATTTTTTCAATACCAATTCTAAAATCTTCAAGAAGTTTTTACGTGGTCCACTTTAGTTACACTACAGTTTACGACACCACGCATTTAAAAGTTGAAGTAAAGATGAAATTATTGAAATTCGGGTGGAATCATATATTTGAGATTATATAATTTTAGACCGCGGTTTCTTTACTATTGTGTTACGTGTTTAAAAAATTGTCAATTTGATTGGTTAATTAGATAGGACTTTTCCAACATTCACAATCCACCGTTAGAACACTTTTATGGATACTAGATCGTTCGGCTCGTAACGATATGATCTCGGTGCCATAGCGTTTTTTTTTGTTGCCTGAAACGAAGTTGAAAGAAAAATTCCGAGGAATATAAAGGCACTTTAGTCCTGTGGTGTATAGGTACACTATTTTTACACTTCACTAATAAGCGATCACGCTTATCAATTTTTTAGAGGAAGAATTGCGTTACGTTTAAATCTTTACCATAGTATACTTGACGTTTTAGTTACCTTTTACTTAAGCCTGTTTTATAGATGAAATTTCTAACATTTCTTTTTACGCGCTTATCCTGTATTTTTATGTATCTATACTAAAACGTGCTATACATTATATTAAATGTTAGACGCACTGTTTCGTGTTTTAAGTTTTGAAACATTTTGAACGTGGTTTACGGCATGTTAAGATTTATGTTGATTTTTAGAGTTTGCGGGCAGAAATTTGACAGGAAATTTGCTGTCAAATTCCTACATGTAAACCTTTTTTAATCTAATAAGTGTTCTTTGTTGTGTTGCAAACCATCTCGAGAATGTTTCGAGACTTCAAAAACTGAAGAATGCGTTCAATATTTAGTGGTAGAAGGCACGTTTAGCCTAGATATTTCAAACTAAATGACAGCTGTCACCATCTCGGAGTACGTAATTAGAAATTAAACTGTTATGATTGCGGAACTAATTTGACTTAGATTGTCAACCATGACGTACCGACATTCTTTCCTGACGAGAATAGTATATGCAGGGTGTTTTTTAAGATGGGCCATACGACAATGTAAAGCCATTGCGTTATTTAAAATGGGCCATAGGGGAAATTTACCTACATTGCATCAATTGTTTCAGTCATTAACTTCCTCTCGAATCATCTGGCACAGTACTGTAGAAATTGTTTCTAAATCAACAAATTTATTCAAATCAGATATAAACGTATAAAATTACAATCGGTGCTCGAATTGTTTTCCACCGGCAACCAAACAATACCCGATACTCGGCACTGAATAACTCGCATACTCAGCTACTGTGCCCACTCTTGTACAAATTGTACTACATGAACACCTTTTCGAGCGGCGGAATACATGTTGCTGCCTCGTTGATGCAGTTTGAAGAATCAGATCGAGAACTGTCAGTGAAATAACTAAGCGCAATGCCAAGATTTGAGAACAATTGGCGCAATGTAAATTTCCCTATGATGACCCATTTTAAATAACTCAGCGCCTTTACATAGTAATAGTAGTACACATTATTTCACAAAAACCTAGGAAATTATACTTTCTCCAAATAGGACGCATAATTTTAGATGTACTGAAAAGCTAAATTGCGTCTACAATGTCACCGCCGCCGTTCTTTGCTTATAGGTTTTCGTTTCCATTACGCTCATTATTCAATAAAAACGATTTCGTAAAATTTCATCAGTCAATGATAATAAGCGCCGAATGAAATTAAGCGAGTAGTTGAATCATCGCGCTGGTTTCTTAGCAAATTAGCATAATTTTATTGTCTACCTCGTTTCCGGATGGTCCCAAAAATACGATATAGTATGCGTAGCCTGATTCGTCTAACCTATTTAATTTTGTTTCAGATGGAGCGCCGATATTGTTGGTGAGCTTTTAGCGCAACGATTAGTCGATAGAGTAATTATGTTCTTTGTGCAACCATCTTATTTGATGTGCAACAATTGACATTGTAACTATGTAATAACATGATCTCGTGTTATGCTCATTAATGATTAATTGTTTGTACAGAAATGCTTTTATGTCCTAATATTTAAAAAAAGTGGTTAGTAATTTTTTTACAATAGCTGCTATCAGTGCCATCCTTAAGTTTAAATGTTACGTTGCTCACAGATGTCAATTTATTAAAAAAGAAAAACTCCAAGACAAATGAAATTTGGTCATTTTTTAAATTGGCAGCTAAGTCAGAGGGGAATCCCAAAGTTGATAGGAAAATTTTTAGGACATTTTTTAAATTTGTAATTATATTACGTAAGGCCAGGTTTATATAGTGTAATATAAGAGTTAATATAATTTGAACGCAACACTGTTAAAGTGTTGATACTGTATATATTGTCTAGAATGTAGTTGCTTAGTGTACCTTTGTTGATTTATTGTATTTTTAATTTTTATATCCATAATCACTGCTGTCTTGTCATGTTGGTACTGGTCATTTAAATTTTTACATTAACAATTACTTTCTTTATTATATTAGTATACTTTTTTGTACTATAATAGGTAATTTGTTAGCATTTTAGAAGTTTAAATGAAAATTGACTCCATTGTTATTATATTTTTATTCCGGATAAAAAACACGCCTAGCTGTTAAGTGGATTCAAGATTCAATAGCGCACGCAAGAAAAGATACAAAAAATGCCATATGCACAAAATTTGCTAGAAAATTGCGCCGAATACTTCTTCATTTTGTTATCAGTGTGTCTCTAGAAAAACATGTTCTTGTACTTATCAGATTAGCACATTATTACAGAGTGTAGGTACTTTGCAGTGATAGCTGTTTTTTCATCAGGTGCCTCCAGTTCTATTTTATTTTTGCGTTATGATTATAAAGATAATATTAAGAAATGAAAAATATATAATTTCAAATACTGCTGTTTCACAAAATAAATGAAGAAAAACATGTGTTAATTTGAGTTTTTTTTACCTCTCATTAATATAAAATGTGGCACGGAAAAGGGCCAAAAATACCCTTTAGCACTTTTCCGTTGTTTTCACAGAATTAAGAACGCAGAATTCCAGTGCTAAATATGCAATTGCGAGGAACGTGCGTTTGATGATAATCAAATTCTTGGTTTTGTGAGAATCATTTGGTCACTAGTTCCACGCCCCGGGCTATGTTTTTAGCGCTCTGGGCTGTATTTAGCTCAGCGCCCCCGTAACTAATGTTTATAATAGTAAAATGATGTATCCTTAGTCACCGAGGTTAATACGGTTACTTATCTGTATTGATTTTGAAACAAAATTAACCAATAACCACGGAGGGGAATCGAAAATAATGCGAAAACATATAATTTAGCACATCTTGCTGCCCCCTCGAAACTGGCGCCCTGGGATATAGATTCGATTTTTCATAATGTTCATATTATAATATCAAAAAATTGGCTGATAACAAATGGATAATTTTAGCACACGCCATAACCGCTACGGCAACGCATATCTACGAAATAACAATTATTTAGTAAATACAATGTGTCATATACCTAATTAGTTTGCTTGAAATTTCAACTAACACTGTTTGAATTTTAAAACCCTTCAAAATTCCCCTTTAAGCTTATTACATGTTCTTCAATTGCTAACAATCATAATGCTATTTGAAATGTTCAAATGCTTGCAATCGTTTAGACCTCCTTTGAGTACTGTCGATTAGGATATCATTTCTTATCCATCGTTAAACGGTGTAACGCGGATTAAAATATTCAGTCATATGCGTGAATGTAAAACTAGCCAAAAATAGTTCTTTTTTGCATAATGATCAAATTACCGTTCTTTTTTTTGTCAAAAAATCGTATGGAAAGCGTTACTTTTTTCACAATTTTTACTATACGTTTCACGTATCTCTCTATGAACAGTAGCTCAATTTTTGAGTGATAGTAAATCGCGAATGTCAATGATATTAATTAATTATGGGTTATTAAGGATCACTATGAAAAAAAATTTCGTGTAGGTACAACACGTGTTCAAAGTGCCTTTTTTCATGAATTTGCAATTTGATTAATGAGGGCGAAGTATCACTTTCAAAACGAACAAACTCAAGCGACGCCCCATCTGTAGATATCTTTTAGATAAAATTTCATCCGTTTTAGCTCTACATTGTGGTAGGTACAAGTGGATCATGCATACTGTGTGTCCCAGGGAGAACGCACCATATGGAAACATAATTAATGTATTGTTTCGGTAAGGATCCAGGAGCCCTTTGATAAGTGTTCAACGTACACGTTGTTGCGCTTGCCTCAAGCTGGAAAGAGATTGAAGTAGTAAGTGAAACGCTAATTTCGAAGGCCTAGTGGATCCTTCGTGAAAAAATACATTAATTATGTTTCCCTATGGTGCGTTCTTCTGGGACACACAGCACACTGTAGGTCGAAAAACCGTTTTAATATATGGTGAGGTAAAACGGATCAAAATATATTAAATAGTATATTAAGTATGGAGAACGGTAAGGGATTTTTACCGTTCGAAGACAATTGTTTGGAGGAGGAGCGAAGCGACGACTCCAATTATTGTCTGACAACGGTAACCCTTAACGTTCGACGTGCTTATAACTTTTTTTGCGCGATCGAAATTAAAACTATGCAACCAATATAAATATGCACTAAGAAATTAACGAGCAGAATGAATCGAAATGATCGAAGTGGTAGGTAACCAGTTTACTTGTCAAAATTGAAATGAATAATTTCATAAAAATGTGCATGTGTCTGATGTAGTTTACTAGCTTTGCACTTCCTTTATGACTTTATGAGTGTCTTGCTATAGGAAACAACAGCACAAATTGTACGTTTAATGTACCTAACAATAATTAAAGATTAAATGTAATGTAAGACTGTTGATTTTTAAAAAGGCGTCGGTAAGTATTTTTGTTGTTCTGTTTTTAGATCGGTAAGTAATTTTGGCGTCGTCGTAATCATAGCAACTGGTAAATTCTACGTACTGTCATGGAAACACCCATGGTAAATAGTCAGAAATGACCGATCGCGCAAAAAAGATTATTTCCTGACCGAAAGAGAACAAAAAATACCTATCAACAAATTTGTCTTTTCTTTCTAAAGTTATTCTGCGGCGTCATGTGTTTTAAGAAATCATTTCGAAACAATTTCTAATTACTTCAGGCGAAACAGCAGCTCGCGCCCATTTGCTGTTTTCAGAACGTCTATATATGAAACTTGTGTCTATTGGTAAACCATCGCGAAATCTTTTTTCTTCCTTCCTCAACTGCTGAGCATTTTGTGGACACCCACTGCAATTTTCCATATACCGCTTTTCGTATAGACAGTTATCCACATTTTACTATCTTTACAGCCGATTGTCCCTGGGGTTTTATACTTCTCCCAGGCTGCTAGTACACGCCAAATTTGTATCAAATCAGACCAATTTTAATCAAATTCAAGTGTTATACTGCACCTCTTTAGGTGATGTAGCTTACTTTCAAAATATAGATAGTACATAAGGACATGACAATTGAAAGCTTGTCTATGTCTTTATTGGGCCCGAGCTCTAGTTTTCAATTTATTAGCAGTTATAAATTATAATTCAGTTACCTATGTGTAATTTTGTGAACCACAAATTAGAATTATTTGTATTTACCATAATCGGTACCTATGCATTTTCAAACATGACGGTTTTATCCCTATTTGTTTGTTTATTATCCGGAAAATGACTTATTAGAGAGTGCAAAGTTTAGTTGTAATCCCTTGCAAAATTCAAATGCCAACACATGTATCGACAGTTTTTGAAAACCCATCATTGATTGTCCTATTTCTATAGTAATCAATAAACAAAAATTAATTCCAAAAAGTGAACCATGTATATTTAAGTTTCGAAAAGTAAATGCAATTTAAAAAAATGCTTGTGCCAAATGAAATGGGTCTTGTCATTCACATGAGAACTGAGCCAGTCTAAAAAAAGTGACGTATTGTGGCCACTTTCATTCAATAATTAATGGAATAGAAATTAGTCAAGAAGCGTCTCCCAATTTTTTCTCCTGGTGGTTTCCTTCCCATTGAAAATTCTTTTAACAGTTTTTCAATTACTAGATTAATTAAATGACGCGAACGTTTGGTTAATGTCCGCGTTAATTCTTTTTCGAGACGCTCAAAGTTCCGTACACCGAGAGACCGGAACAAAGGCTTTACTCGCCATTGTAGCGGAAGTGACGCTGACTGATGATTCTCGACGAGCAGTTTGAAAAGAATTACGTTTAAAGAATAAGCAGATGGATGGATCTCCGATGGGCGCAATAGAGCTCTACCGGCGGGCTTTGCAAACTAGAAAAGGCGATGATATATTGTCTGCCGGAATTTGCGTTAATGGTACATTTGCTTTCGGTTACATCATTTTTTATTCGAATTTGATTTTACATGTAATTTACTTTTAAGTGTATCGACTTTCAATTACTTTCGAGGATCAGGTAGGTAAGATTCGTGAGAATCCTGCTCCTAGTTCGTAGCGTATCCGTCGGGTTGATACAAATCAACAAATTCAAATAGCGTACGGAATAATGCAAGTCACCGGAAATAAATAGTAAGGTAAGGTACAATTTAAGTTTGAAACTGTGCGTAGTTTCACTTTTCATTAAAAAGAAAATGGAGGTATGATAACTGATGAAACGCTACAACGGAGATAATTCGAGAGATCTGTGATTTGTACTTAATATATGGGGCCAAAATGTAGTTTGAGGGACAGACGGACGGTAAAAATTTCAATAATAGCCCTTTTTAAACCTCTGTAATGGATTTGGAAAATAAATCGTGTGAACACTGAATAGCTTATTAGCAAACTTCGACAGGAAAGCAGACATTCCACATACATAAGCTGAATCTTAAATGAATAAAGAACGGGTAGGTCAAAATTTTATAAAATCGTTAATTTGTTTTTGCCATATTAGCTACAGTAAACACGAATGCATCGAAATAATATGCCTTAAAAGATAAGCGAATAAATTCAACATGTGTTGATACCTAACGCTTCGAAACCATAACAGGTGATCGATGACGTATTATGAATTTGAAATAGATTTGTTAAAAACTGGTGTTCGATTGGTCAGTGCGAGATAATTTACGTGAAACGGGGGAATTTAAACAACGACGCTCCTACTTTTCGTGAGCAAGTATACGAATTGACACGTCTTTATAAACCCTCTACTGATATAATTATATAATAAATTAAATGCCTTTTTAACAAATTAGTGGGAATTGTTCAGTGCCAATTTAGCGACCTTCACGGACACCGGTAATTAAGAGGTAGGTAACAACAGTTTATTATTACACTAAATTCCTAATTTTTAAATTATGTACTTGAATTCGCTAAATATCTAGTGGGTAGCAACAGTTTTTTCTTTGAGATGTATATAGCTTATAGTCGGTAGAAAATGCCGTTACTGAGTCATGTATAATCAACTAGATAATGTGAAATTCGTTAAACCTGACTGGAGTACCTCAGAAATACTCACAAAACTAGAACTGTCTGCAAATTTCGCATTTGCTTTAAATTTTACTTCATTTGGACAGTTTTCAATATCAAAGGTACTTGTTTCTAGTCATTTCTGAATGCGACAGTGGAAAATACTGTTCATTAGCCATTATACGCGGTTTCTGACAAAATGCCTACACCTACAACAAGGTACCTACTTATTCTTACAAGGTGTGCCTATAGATACACTTTCTTCTTCTTCGAAAATGCACGTCATTTCTGAACAAAGTACTCTGTATGGTTTTGTACGACACCCTAAAACTGCGGCATAGTTTTCGAATAGATACAACTTAATTCTGTTTTGAGCGCTTTGTAGTAGTGCATTTGTTTTGTGATTAAACGTGAGGTCTTTCAGTTATCGCACAAGAATTAATGCAAGTACCTTCGTCACATTAGACTAGGGAAATTAGAACGATTTTCCCGAAGTTGTAAATTTTTGCAAACAAACCGTGTCGAAGCCTATGTGGTTTTCGGCATCTAGTGTTCAGAAAATACGAACAAAATTTTGTATAATACTGGTTGAGCAATTTTTTGAAAATTGCGTAAGGGTTGCAAAAAATGTGTTAATATTGCATCATTTAGTAGTATCACAACTATAAACATGTATGATAAGCCGTTATAGGCATGCAGAGTCTATATATCTGCCATTGAAATTGACCGGCAATGGGGGCGCTACGGAGTGCCGGGGGTGTAGTAAAGTGAAAAATTATCAAGGCCGAAAAATTGTTCGGAAATAGTTATTCGGGGGTGGCGCTACGGGGATCACGCAATTAAAACAGATAAACCTCTCGCCAGGAAAGATTGCCGGTCGCAGAACACTTGATCCCGGTCTACAATCTATGTTTTTCTAAAGATGTGAGCGACTTCCGGAATAGTATCGTGTCAATGTTGAACAAAAGGACTTTTCGTTTAACATTGGCACAATACTATTCCGGAAGTCGCTCGCAGCTTAAGAAAAACTTAGATTGTAGATCGACACAAGGTGTGCTGTGACCGGCAATCTTTCCTGGCGAGGGTTATAAACAAGCTGATAAAGAACTGACATCATTTTAACGGCAATTGTTACATGACTACTTGATTTTTTTTTATCAAAAATTGGAAATCTTGATTGATATTAGGTTTTGGTTTTCAAACTATTTCAAAATTCAGTATAATATTTCTTTAGTGTATTTGGCCTTAGAATTTCATGTTCTTTTCAAACTCAAAATAAAAATAGGGGCTTCTATTTTTAAAAAAATTATCGCTTACGTCACCTCAAAAACAAAAGACGCTCCTTAAGTGACAATTACAGTAAAATATGTCTCATTTAAGATAAAAATTGACGTATTCGAGGAATTTCTAAAAAACATTTACTAAAAGATTTATTGTGATAGTTCCACACTTTACACTCGCATTGTATATCAAAACGAATGTTTCGACGAGTTTCTCATGTGTGCAGTGTGTAGTTTTACGATTTGCATTACTGACATAGGAAAATTATTCAGATCTATAAATAATTATTTCATGCGGTCCATCGGCAAAATGAAAAAAAAACACAGGGAACACGTTTTTTTCCAGTAGGACTTCCGTTGAAAGAGAGACAACGATACGGCTATTTCCGATTTTTCATAAAATTCCCTTATACTTGCTAATATTAAATGAAGAGTACATTTCAGAACCTGTATCATCGGATTAATCTTTTGTTTAAAAAAGAAATCTCATGATAAATTCATAACCCGTTCATACTCGCGCCCATTGATATCCATGAAAATTTGATTCGGCCTGTAAATACAGGACATACATTTATTTATTCTCCGAGGCATAAGAAACATCAGATACTCCATAAAAGTTTGATGACTTCCGCGAATTCATACTTTCTCCTGTTTCATCCGAACCAGTTCGAGTCTGCAGCATTTTTATATCTTTTGAGGACGTAATTGATGCAATCTGTTTTTATCTTAACTTTGCTTTAGCTCTTTATGGCGGAGAAATTCGTTTGCGAGCAAAATGCTAATTCACTTTTCTCATTAGAGCCTTTCACCCCTCCGCCACTTTCATCCACTAACATGACGAAACAGTGCAATATGCTCGTGTGTGTCACTAAAATAACCTTAATAAATATAAGTTACCTTTTTTTATTTAATTGAATACAGGGATGAGCTAATACGGTAATGGACCGAGATTTCACCCCTGGGTTTGTTAGGTAAAAGATAAATTTTCATTCAGTTTTAGAATTGCGCCAAGTTTTTCTCTTTCTCCCATTTTCATTTTCCGGTTTTAATTTGAAAATGTTAAAACTTTGACTTATACAAGTCTAAAATGAAATTGTGCTTCTATCGTCAGCTTTCGTCACCTCAAATTGCGAGCAAACTTTAAATCTTGGAGATTTTCTTTTTTTAAATAAAACTTTAGTCGAAGGTTGGTACCCCATGAAAACTGTATGCATATGTATGAGATAGAAATTTATTACTTTAAACTTTTCGTCTCAATTCACTACCACTACTTCGTTGATATTTTCATTATCGAAAAGCGCGGTCTGCGATTGCAAAAGAAAGCTGCTTTTTCTGGAGGTTTTGTTTATTAACGTCTATAAGATGCTGAGGCTTTCAGATATTTATAACTTGCTTTACCTTATTCACCCATTGCACACAATCATGCGGCTTTACAAAATTCAACTTATGTAGGTCTAGGTAGTCAGAAAAAATAGTGTATTATACACGGGAAAAATATTCAGTCCGCTACGCGTCGGGAGACAACACAACCTCGAGCTAAAATCTAATAGTTTTTCCCTTGTATAATAAATAACTATTTCTTAAAATAAACTGAAAAAAATATTCTTATAATTTGTAAAGACCTTGTAAATTAATGTGACCATTATGATTATTCGAGTAACCAGAATTTTTTTAGGTACCTCCTGACGGAAATACAAAGTGTCAAAGTACCCGCCTTAATTTTTAATTTTTTTCTTAAAATACAAATACATACCTCCAAAACGATCAAAGAGGGCCATGGATTTTGCTTGGTAAACTGACCTTAATTTTCAAAAAGCTAAATGTGGAATAAAACTTGGGGGTTGCCATTTAATATAAGGAAGTTGGTTCAGGTATAACCGGAAGTGTTAGTATACTACGACTATTTTAAGAAAAAGTTGTTCATGGTCGAGAACCTTTGTGTGCAAATTTTTATAAGCGTATCTTTTCTACTTTCCCATATAAGGCTAATTTTTCCCTTTAAAAGAAAGACCCTGTGTGTAGATCATATATTCTACAGGCGTTCCTTTTCGCCGTTCCGAATAATTTCGTCTGGCACTCCGTTTTCGAGAGATGAGGATCTAAAAATTAGTTTCTTTCGTTGAGCTTTCATTACAATACCATGAAAACTCAATCTAGCATCCCCTTCTTACAAACTCCAAAAGTTAATGGTAGAAATTAAATCCTTTCTCTAAAACCTTTTATTAGAGCCAGGAAACTACTCACTGATAGTCCCTCTATTCCAGCAGAAGTGGGTTCGAAGGGAGCCAATGCAAACAGTACAAAAATGCACTAAAAATAAGGCATGGTTGGTTCAAATTTATCGTTTTGCGTACAGTATTGCAAACACCCTGTAGAATGATCTTAAAGTTTTAAAGTATCCTAAACTAAATGTAAGATGGTGTAAGTGTGTAAGATTTAGCATTTTTGTAGCATCATCCTCTCAAAAGATATCGCCCGAAATGGCACCCGCTTTTTGTAACCTTTCATACGAAGAAGTTATAGCTAGCACCAAGACCACGCGTTCCTATTTGACTTCATGGAGTGGAGCGTGATCGTTTCACACTATGAAACAAGCTTTAATCTCGGCTTTAATGCTGGTCTGCAAAGAAGCAGGGGAAACTGTTCTATTAGCTGATTTTTAGGGGGAAACTGTTGTAGAAACAAATTAATTAATATCTAAAGTAAAAATTAAATTAGTTCCTCTATGTAAGTTTCACATGATTGTGACTTCGAGGCGGAAACAACTATAAAATTAGCTGTGCATTGCATCAAATTTGGATGAGAAAAAATTATAGGAATTATAAAATAATCAGACTGAAAATTATTTGCAGAATCATTTCAAATAGCAAACTCGATATGGAACTGATAAGTTGTGTAGCTCTATCAAAAAATTTAATTGAATTACACTTTCTGATTTATCTGTACACAAAACGTTTACTAAACAAATGTTTTCTAAATTTGTTGATAAATTCCACTTTTCAGTGACGATTGGAGATAAGATGTGTGCGCAAAACTGGTCTGTAGCAAAGAATGCCGGTAAGGTGCTTATTCCCTATCTGACTTGTTACCCGTATACCTGACCATTCCCGAATTAAATACCGAACGAACATTCAAGTAGTGCGGCGGTTGTAGTGCAATGTAGGTGTATTGTGCTCTTCCAATGGAAATTGGTGAATGGTTCCTCGCTTGGAAAGACTGAAGTACCTAATAACGCTGGGTGAGTTTTTAACTTTGCTAATTAGACTAAATAACCCAACGTAGGTAAATACATTAACCAACGGGTACCTCCTTCGGCAAGCAAAAGTTCTATGTGTTTGCAAATTCTCTTTTAGTAGCTTTACCATTTTTAAAATTTTGGTCCATAATACGCAGATGGAGTGTAGCATGTTACTGAACTAGATTTTAGTTACGCACATGGAGTGACGTACAATCCAAAAAAAGAATTTGTTGATCATAAGCAGAAACTAAATACTCATTGTAATAATTTTCTTTCTTCCAATGGTTGGTATACGAATTAAAATTTAATTAGAGACTGTTTTGCTACCCGCACATGTGGACAAAGATAACGTCAACACGTGCGGCCATCAGGTGAAGCGAAAACGCGTTTCAATATGACCGCAATTTTTACTGACAACTAAAGATGAATTAAATTATTTTAGGAAAAAATTCCGATTTGTTAGTTACCTACTCCCGTTTACCTATACATAAATACGATACGCGAACGGGCCATGCAAGGTTCAAAAGTTACATCTTCGGAAAATAAGAAATAAATACATAAATTCGACTTTCCTTTGTAGGTATAGGTACCTTTCATTCAAAAGTGAAAAGTATTACCAAATAATATTCGGTTGCGGCACTAACGTATCGCCTCGCCCAAAATGGTTTCTTTTTCCATGTGAGAATGAAAATTAATTTAGAACACAATCTCATGGTTTAAAAAATTGTAGTTCACATGTCATATCTTATCAGGAACGACTTCAGTCGGTACGGCAAAACAATTATTAAAAGGTAAAAGTGACCGCATGTGCAAATAAGCGCATCAGGTGATTAATCTCTACCTGCTTACGTTACCGCCCCTCCATCAAAAATATAACTTATGACCAAATCATTCGATCGTGTTAACGCGAAGTGCAGTGCATCTTGTGCGGAATGGTCTCCAAAAATGTCAAATGGTTCGAAGAAGAGTGCCTAGTACCGAAAGCAAGAAAGGTAAGGGTGAATTCTGACAAGCACAGATTAGGTACCGCGTAAAATGCAGTAAGTAATTTGGATTTTTACATTTAAACATTGGGCATATACCATGCAAAACGATTTTGGAGTTGGACAATAGGACCTCAACACATGTAACTGCCGTTAGTTTTAATTAATCATTTTCCAAATCAAAAATTTATACACGACAATTACATCTTATCTATCCAACTATAAAATTGGAAACACATGTGTAGTCCATTGCGTCGGCGGCGTTGGCATTTTAAACAGGTGTTTAGAAATTTGTTGATAATTTCATTCTTAACAAAAACCGCCTTTTTATTAGCTTTAATAATTTGTCGCAGAGTTTATTAATTTTGAATTAATTTGATATGAGTGAACCACTCTCCTTCGCAAAATGAAATGTCTTGAAATCGAAATAAGCAACTCAAGATTATTGTGTCACCTCATACCTAAAAACTGTACGAAAAGGGTGACTAGCAATTTCATTCTTTCTCTCTGTATTCATGTTAAATCCGGGTCCTTATTAGAGGCATTTAATTGGTCCAAATATTTATTCAATATAGCAACGTATTCACAAACTTCTTTCGAGTTGGAGAATCGAAAAGTGGACTTACCATTTTTCGCATTTTCAGACCAGATAATTTTGTGTTGAACTTGTATTATAATAATTAAGCCATTTGCTAACAACGAAATGTAAAAAAATTAACCTTTTTTCAACCGTAGATTAGAAAACGAATACAATTATTTATAAGATGTCCCATTAATCGTGCGGTATCTCGTAACAGTTGCCGCGGGAGCTTTATATTAAAATTTAAATTTCGTATTAAACCCTGCTGCAATTTATTGATTGACAAAATACCTTTCTTTTTCTTAAAGTAAAAATTGCAACGAGAAAACTGTATCATTAAATAATATAAAAAGAACGTTAATTATGCCGGCAACTACCTGAATCGGTTCTCTTGTTACGTCACCTGCCGTAATTCAGGGAAATTGTTACTACAAAAGTGGCTCTTTGAAACTTGTACGGTCCATCGCAATGACAATAACGGAAATAATTAATTTTTTATATGCATAAAAAATAAACACGGAAAAGATTCAGGACGTTTAAGGATCCATTTCCTTAATTTTTCTTTTATTTATTTATTTATTTATTTATTTTTTTAACCAGACACCATACAGAATAAGAAAATTCCAATTACATGGCACTGGGGCTCTGAACATACATTAGGGCTTAAGGTCTAATTTGATTTATTATTACATTTAAGAGATCCTGAAAAAAAGTCGATATCATTCACTGAGCTGAACTTATTTAAAGTGATCAAGATCTTAATAAGTGGGGAAGTTGTGTTGCTAACTGCAAAAATAGTATTATTTTTCCTTAGTTTAACAAATGGTACCTTAAGCTTAATTTCTTGAAGTAGTTCGGAAGAGTTTAACAAATTATGTAAAATTTTGAAGATAAAAATTGTGGAGGCAATGCACCGTCGGGTTTCTAACCCCGTTATATTTAAGCCGAAAGTACTATTTAAGTACCTAATCAAGCTGGGTACCGTAAGAGATCCAATGTGAATAATTGTATGGGTTAACCTAAAAAACATTACTCGGATGAACTTTTTCTGCACTTTTTCGATCATGTCTGAGTATTTGAGAGTTTGAGGAGACCAGATACATGCATCAGCATACTCAAGCTTCGATCTAATAAACGCGTTATGTAAGGTTGGCCTTGTGTATCAGATATTCGTGAAATATCTGTCTGTCTGAAAAACACGCGCAGATCCTTAACTGAGGTGACTCTTAGTAAGACTTTACTCGGACTTTTCCATTCATCCTACAGTTAAAAAGTAAGGGATTTTTCGATGTAGTAAAAGTTAGGACCGTACACTTATCAATATTTAGTTTCACTTTATTTTTGATACACCACTTAATCACTGAGTTAATGTCCTCTTGAATATTTACACTGCAGTCACTTAGGTATACGGATTGGACTTTATTAAACAGTTTTAGGTCGTCCGCAAATAGTATCTATAGTAGTGCTTTCGAGATTTTTATCACTCGGGGTAAATCATATATCATGTATAAGAGAAATAGAAAAGGGTCAAGAAGTGTTCCCTAAGAAACGCCTGATGAGGGATAAAATTCGCCTGAATTCACACCATTGAATTTCACTCTTGTTCTACGGAAAGATAAATATAATTTCAGGAATTTGACGGTCGGATTATATAATTAATACATTCCTTTTTATAAAATGGTTTAAATATTAAATTTCTACGTGGCATAGATCTGAATATCAAATCCTAGATAGAGGTGGCCATCTCTTTGACTAATATTAATTCGTACAATAATTTGATTTAGGATTGTTACCTATTTACCCCTTTAACAGCAACCTAAATTCGTTTTACGTTGACAAAATAAGTTGTGAATGACCTCTGAATTTGGTTCCCTTATTATAAACTTTAACTCCATTTGAAGGAAAGTTGAGTTACAAAAATCATAGAGTTATCATTTACAACTTAAAATTGTTAAAGTTTGCGATCCGGCGATTGCACTTTAAAGTTCAAAATGTGAAACATTTGTGTTTCTACAAAGTGTACGTATAAGCTTCAGAAATTGCAATACTGAAACTTAAAGTAAACTTATTAAAAACCTTGGAAATAGAAAATTTGAAGTTTTAATCAAAGAGACGCCACAACACAACTCCAAGAATACAGATCCACGCAAATTTTTATTTGATAATCTTGACTCATTTATTTATTATTTTTGACCGACCTTATTGTGAGTTAACCCAACGATAGTTTTGAGAGTAATAGTTACTTACAGCCACGTAAATGACAATACGGGATCCCTTTGTGGCCGAGTCAATTAATGTAATTTTTTTCTTTCGAAAAATTCCTCCAAAAACACTTTCTTCTCAAGTTTTACACATAATTTTTACTGAAACTACAATCAAAACTGAAAATTAGCGTATGCAATAATGAAGTTTGACACACATCAGCAATCTAGATACGGGTATGTTTTAAGTTTAAATGACGTTATTAAGATTAAGGCAGCAGTGGTTTTTTACTTTTCTTACTAGAGAGAAAAATCATATTTTTTTTAGATATGAAAGTAGTTGTTTCTCAAGTAGTTTCATAAAAATCTTTTTGTTGCCAAAAGATATGGCTTGTTTAATGTCAAACTCTCGAACGTCGCACTGAGTCTGAGTTACATTTATAAATAATAAAATTTTCAAAATTTGGTTATCACTTTTAAAGCATTTAGGGTAAATCTACAGAACTTTCGAAATTCTAAGAATTTTTCTTCTTGCAAACCCCTTAATATCTCCCTAGTCTGAATTCGTTCTTCCCATGTTATGCACCATGCAGTTCTTCACACAATATTCTATAAGAATGAAAATTTTACTGTACGTTCTTCATTAACAAATGATGCCTGGAACTTACGCTACAAATAGTGTAAAATGAATTTAGATTAAGTTTAGTTCAAACATGTGTATGGATCCGCACATTCCATCCCCCAAAGATAGATCTTGTGCGTTTAAAGTGTATTAGTAGGTACAAACTTTGTTAAGAATAATACCCCATTTTTGTATATTGGTTTGTTGATATTTACAGCATAAACAAAAACATATAATCAATGCAAAGTAACGGTATTTACAGATCTGTTAATCTTTATTACTAAAGGTTACAAGATAATGAGTTTCAGATTCCCTTACGACGAGGCCAATCATTTTATCATAGGGGTAATGGAAAACTACCCTAAACTGTTATAAAGGGAAACTGTCCTTGTTTATCGTCTAATTGCAAGTTTTTGTATGTTTGCCGAGTTATTCAGCTAGAAACCTCATGGATCATGGGTTGAGTAGTTACGTTTAGAAATTGCCGCGCGTAGAAAAGAAACCCTTTCTCTTCATCTTTATAATTACATATTTCACCGAGTATAACGTTACGAGAATTTCAAAATTCTGCGATTTTATAAGATCAATTTTAAAATGAAGCGCTCCCTGTTGTT